CATATGAATCAGGATTTCTTTTGCAATACCGCGTGGCGGTACCTTTTCTCGTCTGGTTAAAAGTGGTAGGTAAGTAACATAAATAATAAAAGAAATCGTCAGGTCGGAGAATGAGCATGTTTAATTTCTCTCGATGTCTATTTCCACCCCACGCGTGAGGGTGTCAAAAATGGGTGACACTTAGAGAGGGTGATCTCTAATTCGGAGTCAAGGGGTGAGAGGATTCCTCGCGGAGTGCCAGGTCCGAAAAGCCACCCTTATTATCCGGCGACCTCGAATGGCCGTCCCCGATTTCCGCCCTCGACCATTTCCACCCCCGCGAGGGTCCCCAGGGGGTCGCGAATGGAACTTCAGCCCGAGGAGGAGGAACGGGCTTGCAATCGAAGGGAGGAAGGCGATATCGAGCCAGTGGTTATCCGGCAGACCGGACGAGCATCCGGTCGGGTATCCGGTCGAGGGGATGATATCCGACCCGGGCGTTGACGACCTCGCGGGGGGTCGATCGGGTGCCGCGAATATCCGAGTGGAATGCGAAGGGACTCTGGAATTTTTACAGGGACCTGGGGTGGTTTCCGGTCTCGTATCAGGAATTCCTGGGAACCAACCCTTACGAAGAGACCACCCTCCGCGAGAACATCGGTCGCCTCATCTGGGCACCGAATACAAACGGCTCGATTTATTGGATTTATTGGATCCATTTGCGGAGAATAGCGATCGACTGGATCGACCTCGAAAATCGGAAGGATTTGAGGGGCACGTGTTGGGCTGCATTCGCCGATTCTGGGGGAAAGAATGTCAACTTTAAGGGCCACTTCGGGGCGCGCTCCTCTCGGGGTGACCCGGATTCAAAGGACACGCCGGGGAGGTAATTGAAATGGAGGGCTCTCGTTTCCAGCGCGCGGGATCTATGTAAAACGACCTCGGGATTGTCGGGAACGCGACAATTAAGCCGGTTTATCGTGCCCGATGGCAGGACAGTTAGAGCCGATGTGCAAACGCAGCGCGTTTAGCGGAGAAAGTACGGCCCGTCGCGGTTTCGCGTGCGGTAGACAATGAACCTAATGCGCCGGAAAATGCGGACATTCTCGGAATACCGTGCGCGTCGATGTACCATTCGTGCCCCTGGGTACCGCTAATTACTCCGCGTGGTCCCATCGCGGGAAAGAATTTCCGCGGAACCCCCTATAAGGCGCGTTAAGCGATTTCGCGATAAATAGGACGAAAGGGAGCCCTTAAGAGGATATGAAAGGCGCTAAGAAATTTAATATTTATGTTGAAGCCTTTTACAGTCTACGTTGAGAGTTATACGAATACGAAGGGTTCCATATGTCATTTCGGTAAAGTAATGGTAATAAGATCGATGTACAACTGCCGAAATCCCATGAATTCATAATTCTTTACATTTTAACGAACCAATGGCGCCATCTGTGACGTTTAGCTGCTACTAAATTTTTCCTCTAAAAACACGTGTTAACCGCAGAAGCGTAAAACATCGAACACGTGGCCGGACCACGCCACGTTGGTTCTAGTTCATAAGTAAATGAATTTTCGATGAAAAATGAAATTTCATGAGTTTCAGGACTTACTTTAGGGCCTCTGCATCCATGTAGTAAAATTTTAAACGAATCGATACACCCGTCGAAATCCCATGAATTCGGCAAGGAATCGAAGATGGCGGAAAGCGCGGAATCCGCGAGCACCCCGCGACTTGGGCGGGCATAATCGAGCGTGGCGATAATTATTACGGCCCTCGGCTCCGCAAAGTGGATTCGATCAATTCGTAGCTTCGCCAAGGGAAACGGCGCGTCCCTCGTCGTTCCAGGGGCTCGGAAGAGCGCCGCGCGAAATCGAGCCCACGGGAGGGGGCCGTCGACGTCCCGCTAATTCGAATTAACCGGAATTACTGGGATTAACGCAATTTACCCAATTGACCGAGTTAACGGAATTGGCGGTATTAACGACGACGTTTTTGGCCGAGGTATCGATTCGCAGATGTAGCGAGGGCTTTCGTGTCTTTTAGGGACTCGAGTTTCGGGGTCGAGGAGATCCCTCGGGACGTCGACCGCCTCGGGTCCCACGGGGAGGATTACGAGGTCGACGAGGTGCTACGCCGGAGTAATTCGCGGAGGGATAAATTCGCGGACACATAAACGGGCCTCGGTGGAAGCGGAGGTGGCGAATACGGCGAGCTTTAGCAGAGAGCGCCGGGATAATTAGGCGAAAACCGCGGGGTATTAAGCGCGCCACGGTAATCCGCCATGTTGGTTTAAAATATACCCACCCGGCCGGCGTCATGCACGACCGACAGGGCTCTCTCTACAGTCATACGTTTCCCGGGTCCGTCCTGTGAATTTATTTCGGTCTAGGCGATTATCTCCCATTAATTCTGCCCCTGGACCGTGGGGATATCTCCATGGGTCTGGAATAAAGGGGTGGGGCATAAAATTAGATCCTAAGCGAGGGACTGAAGTGGTAATCTTGCGTTGCCGCGCGAGCGTCGAGCTCACGAACAGTCCTGGTGGGTATATGACGCTTTTTTTTAAGCCTAGGGAACGTTTTGTTAAGCGCGTGCCGGAAGCGGTTACTGGTATATTTTTTTTCTATTTATTGGTTCATCCATGGATATGGTTCGACGCGCGCGCCGCCGCGCGGTGGCGCGGCGAGACGCGTCCATTATTAATTTCGCCGGCCGAAAAGCCGGCTTTGTTCGTTCTTTAATAGGTGCCCGGCGTTGATGGGAGTCCACTAGAGGCCGGGGAGAAAGGAAAGGAGGCCGAAAAGGGAAGAAACGGACTGTCTTTGTGTCGAATAAATGGCCGAAACGGTCGCGGGCGCAACCACCGGCGCCATTTTCCCCGGCGTGAAGTGGCCCCGCCAGAGAGCGCTGCCGGCGCTGTTTGTCCGTCGCGCCCGGAAGAGCTTTCTCCGCGGGAAGAAAGCGTCAAAGGGTGGCTTCGCGTGCCACCGAGGGCTTTCTCTTCCGCCTTCCCCTAGAGGAAGATATCACGGACGCGAAAGGCACGGGGGAGTACAAAGTGAGACGAGTTACGGCCGGCAGATAACTTAGCCGATCGTCTCGGCGCCTGTAATCCGCGGGCAAAGTGTAGGTTTGAGGTTATGCGCGGGGGAAGGCCGTGGGAATGCATCAGGAGTCGAACTCGACAGCTCTATTCGCGCTGAATCTTGTTAGGTTGCATCCTTCCGACAAGACCGACGCGACGCCCGTAAAGGCGGCACCCATAAAAAAGCCATCAGCACCGAAAACTATTAACACTAGGTTTACGGGACCCGTCAATTTGACGGAATTCAAACTTCAAAAAGAAATACCGAAAAAACCATAGCATTAATTTTAACCATTTTTGTATCGTAAATTAATCATTTCGTCCAAAGAATCTGTACACACAATTATTTTTTCCTAAGCCTTCTAATTATTAAAATCTGTATGTAGTATACCTATCTCTACGAAACCCGCCAAATTGACGGACTAGCTAATTTCATAAACAATCCATATATATATTTGCTTCGTTGCAGTGAGTGTAAGACGAAGATGAGAGTGAAAGTTTGCATTGAAAGTGGAGAAATAGAAGGATCTTCGGATAGTGAAGAGGAAAACTTCTTGAAAGGGTGTCGTAGCAAGAAAAGGATGCGCATTCTTTCTAGTTCTGACTCCGAGGATGAGAGGACGAGCATTCCAATCATTTCCGTGATAATTTTTAAAAAAGGACTTTTTACTTATTAATAATTTATTTCAAACGTAAAGCCTAGTGCTGCTTAATACAGACTTAATTTGAATAAATCGATTTTTTAAAGAAAATGCGTGTTTTCGTTTACCCGTCAATTTGACGGGTGCTCGTAGAAACAGGTATATAAAAAACGCCCGTAAACCTAGTGTTGAGGACGCTCAAATCGCTGATATGTACTCTTTAATTTCCGTAAATCAGGTTATCGCCCGACGTTCGCCGAAATTCGGAGAGCGTGAAATCGAGAAGGAGGCTGACTTTCCCCGAAGACATTTCCCTCTGAATAATCGAGGAGATCGCTTCCGGTGATGAGCGATATCGGCTCATCGCGGACAGGTTATGTCGGAGAACGGGCTCTTCGGTGGGGTCCGGTTCACCTGGATTCACCTGGATTCACCCATGGGCGTCGACTCGCCTCCGACTCGTGGCTGGCCCCAATTCCCGATAGCCGCCCCTAAAGCTCCGCCGAGCTACCGAGCATTATGCCGGCATTATCATTTCATTATCCCGCGCCTCGCCATTATCGAAACCGACGAGATGCGCCCTAGGTTCTTCCGGTCCCCTTGCCTCTACCCCGTTACCTATGCGTTATTCAACGCGTTCAACCCGAGTATCCGGTCACGGCCACCCTTTACTACCGCACCGAGAAAGTGATTTCAACCCCTCGAGGATTTGCGATTACGTCCATAACCTCTCGAGTCTTCTGTGGGTTTTACGCGGGGTCGATCTGGACCAAAGCCAGCATTACTCTTCCAGTCTGACTTATCGTCCTAGCCGTAGGGAAATTAATCTAGACCTTAATTAGATTACTTGAAACGTCACATCAAATTCTCCTACGACAGGTAAATACCTTACAGACTGCAGGATAATTTTGATACCATGTCGCTACCCCTCTCTCTCCCTCTCTCTAATCCAGGTACTCTCACCGAGCGCGTCGACGCGTTGCACAGGGTAATTATATTGAAATTTTCTCCTTTAGAAAATGACGTCACTTTGTGCTATTTTGATTGGCCTTGGGTTGACGCGATGCGCTCGGTGTGACACCCCCTACGCCAAGAAAATTAAGGGTACCTTGTTCTAATCAATTTGTAATATATAGAATAAATCTTTAGTTGAAAAGAAAAAAAGTGGACGATAGCGGAATTGTAATTGGATGTCCTACAGGAAGTTGAGAAATCGTATGTATGGGTTTAATCATTCTTCCGGGCCCAGTTGACCCTTATCGGAGCCGAGGGATGGACGGGCAGAAAGTTTACTCACTTGATTCGATTGTAGACCAGCAGCTCGGCGATTTCGCGACCCAACCTCGAGTAGAGGGTCTCCACGAAGACCAGGACCTTCGGGTCGATCCTCAGCCTCGCCTCGCTGCGGTGGTCGGGCGCCGTGGGCAGTCTCGTCGCACCTCTCAGGGTGGAACACCTGATCGCAGGCTCCGGCCTCGTGTCTCTATGTATCAGGCTGGAAAAAGGAATTTCCCAATCAGTCTTCGTATTTTTCGGCGAGTAAAAAATATGCAGAAAGGAAATGGGAACTCGAGACGTTGCTCCGTTCATTTTATTAACACCTGACCGCCTCCTGTGTGTATACACATGTGTGTGTGTTTCATCGTGTTAAGGCTTAAGGTGATATGAAAGTGTCATGTGTACATACCAAAAAGCCAAAATATTTATAAAACTTAATCATGTGCTAAAGTTTCAGACAAGTTTCGTTCGTCAAACTTTTCCAAACCGTTTCACATTCTACAATGTGAATATGGAGGCCATAAGGAAGACTTTTCAACTTTGCAAAAATTTGTTTATAGACGTTTTAACATTTTTATTTATTTTTTTTCGGCGAATTGAAATCTCATGGGTATCGGGACCTTCCTTACAGCCTACGTATTCACGTAGCAAAGTTTGAGACGATTCGGTTAAATTATTCTAGAAGATAGACGTTTCGTCCCTTCGTCATCGACGAACGGCGAATACGTGGTGGAGAACACGGATGATGAACGGTTTCAAAGTTTCTGGTTTCCTTGCTTTTCCAGGTTTCGTGGGACTCGCGGATCCCTGGAGAGGGTATGAAAGCGTAAATACACCGGCAAAGACCAGGAGGAACCCGGAGAGCCCTGTTATCCCCGTCGCCATTAAGCTCCTCCGCGAGAGCTTGCGGAGAATCACACGAGACCTCACCAATGGAGCGACGGGTGAATGTATAGGTAATATGCAAAAGATGTCATGATCTCAAAGTCATTCATGCCCTGAGAAACCCCTCGACACGCGAAGCACTCATTTGCCTGAGAGCCTACCCCGAGAAAAAATGTAATTTCACGCACTCTTAGTATACAAACTTATACGTAAATGACAATAATTTCAATCACTGTAAATCGATGATAGAGTCTCGAATTTAATAACGCCCATACAGCGTAAAAAATTGTGTTAAATTATATCGAGTGCATTGAGAATTTTGCATACCGGATCTTTGTAAAAATACTCGTTTAATGAATTTGTTACTATCTTTTTATCGGTGTACGCAGGGATGGATTTATATCCATCGAGAAATTCGGTTCTGCGGTTCAATATAGGATTCTTCACGGTGCGGTAGATTTCTTTTGCGAGCTTGCAAACAAAATGCACAAAGCCCGCAGGAATTATCGAATTAACGCACTGGTGCACGCGCGATCGCACTCGGATGCGCAGCTCCGAAATTCGGGACACGGACCGCGTTCGTTTATCGATTTAAGCCTGATAAGGTACAGAACTATGCGTTATCAGTCACTGGGCATTTGTCCACGGAGGACCTTTACGTTAGGACGGATCGGTGGACGTTCGTGCCGATTCGAGGCGTTCCTGCGAGTTATCGTCGTTATCAGAGAATATCGCGTGAGCCTGCACAGTTAACGCCGCGCATTATCGCCCGCTTCTCGGAATGGATTTAAGTCTCCATCGTGGATATTTCTGCTCCCGTCATGACTCCTCCCCTAGTCTTGTCAAACGTGCCAAAGGCACGAAAATGTGCGCACAAAGAATTGCGCTTGATATTTGAAAATTTTCTCGAATTGTGTGAAGAAATCCCCGCACTCGATTATTGCGCGCTCTGCCAAAAACGAATTTCTGTTTTATCAAGACTTCTCCCGTGTTTTCTCGAGTATTCGAAAATCGAGAAATTGTGCGTACAAAGAGTTGCATTCGATTTTCAACATTTTCTCGAATTGTGTGAGAAAATCTCCGCACTCGATTATAGCGCACTCTGCCAAACACGAATTTTTATTTCGTCAGGATTTCTCCCTTTTTTTTCTCGAGCATTCGAAAATCGAGAAATTGTGCGTACAAAGTGTTGCAATCGATTTTCAAAATTTTCTCGAATTGTATGAAGAAATCTCCGCACTCGATTATTGCGCGCTCTGCCAAACACGAATTTCTTTCTCGTCAAGACTTCTCCCTTGTTTTCTCGAGCATTCGAAAATCGAAAAATTGTGCGTACAAAGTGTTGCATGCAATTTTCAACATTTTCTTGAATTGTGTGAGAAAATCTCCGCACTCGATTATAGCGCGCTCTGCCAAACACGAATTTCTGTTTCATCAAGACTTCTCCCTTGTTTTCTCGAGCATTCGAAAATCGCTAAATTGTGCGTACAAAGTGTTGCATCCGATTTTCAACATTTTCTCGAATTCTGTGAAGAAATCTCCGCACTCGATTAACGCGCTCCATCAAACTCGACATTGAGGCATCGGTCGTTCGGTCGAGTACTCAAGTGCGCCATTATGGCTTTAAAATACCTACAGGATGCCATTTGACCTGAATTCTGTCACCCCATTGCCTCGTCTCATCCATAACGCCATATATCCGGTTTAATGGCAAGCTGTAATGAGATAGTTGCGTCGAATGACGGCGTACTTAGAGGAATTCTAATTTCCTGCACGAACCCACGGGCCGAGTCGCGACCGAACGTTAACGCGAATTAATCGCCCGTTGTACGGGACGTTGCACGTGTCAAATTGCCACGTGCAGAGTACGTACCGTCTTGAACATTTCGCCTGGAATGGTCAGATATACGCACAGGACCGCCATCGGTCGGTATTCTCTCGTCTATCGATAACTGCATCGACGCATCGATGCCCGCCGGAGGTAAGCCTATTATCACGGCTTTATTAGAGGATGCCATCTAATCCGAATTCCGCCTCCCTATTGGCTCTTCTCCTGTAGCTTCGCCTATCCAACCTTAATGCGAATTTACGATTGGATACCTAGGCGACACCTCCCCCGCGGTTACGCAAATTTCACGCAGGGAAATTGCGGTCCCTTCGAGGTTCGACCCCGGAACACCCTCGAAGAATGATCGCAAAACGTGAGAATCCTAGGAATCCCCAGGACAGAGGTATCCGAAGAAACCTAACCTCATCGACCTTCGCTCTAAAAATCATCACGTACGAGTGAAGATTTTTGAATAAATAAAAACACGGAATGTAAATAATTACATTCCTTACAGAATGTTGTAACACCTGAGATGTGAAATCCTGAAGAGGTCCTCGAGGAGCCCTTAACCCCTTAATTTACAATATCGTGTGAGACGTGGTATATCAATCGGGCCAAACGTGAACAAAACGTGTGAGAGACGTAGTATGTTAATCGAGCTAAACATAAACAAAAGGTATGAGAGATGTGTGAGACTTTGAACGTCCAGCCAAACCGTGAAATGGAGGTGCATAAAGCTGGCACCTCCACTTTTACAAAATTCAAATTTCTTTGTCTTAACATTTTGTGCTCTTTATGTGCTAATTATGTGCTACATTCGCAAATTTTGTGCTAGCTCGGTTTTTGGAAAAAATTTCAATTTTTCTGTGAGGGTGCTGGGTACTAATAAAGCTAGCACCCCCACCATTAAAAAATGTGTTTAAATAATCAAAAATAGGTGAAAACTTATCAGCAAATTATGTGCTCTCTGAAAATCATATTCATAAATTACAATTTTCACCCTTCAGTTTGAAAACCCACCCCCGATTCAAAAATCCACAAGAGGTAAGTACCCGATGGCGCGGTTATGCACCTGTGAAATGGCCCGATGTATGACCGACACTTTTGTTGTTCATGGCACGCGCTATTGGAATTTAAATCGTAAGGAAAGGGGTTAAGCTCCTTGTCGCAGATTTATAAACTCGCCGGCCGACGTGGAATTACACTCTCGGAGCGAGTAATCGATTCGACGACGGGATCTAAAGTGTCTCGGATTATCGGCGCGAGAGTCCAAGGGAGACTTTTTAAGGGTCCTCGAGGATCCTTTCCAAGGAAGACGCGTCCACTCCGGAGGTGCCCTTACTCCCGAGTCACTTTTCGAAGTCGCGAGGACTAAAATCTGAGAGAGCAAACGCGGTTTTCGGGAAATTCAAGATGGCGGCGCCGCCCAGTGCGAGGTGGAGTTCGGCTTTGGGAACGCAACGGTTTCATCGACTGCCGGCTCCCGAAACTGCAGCGACCCGAAGTGCGGCGCAGATACGGGGAATATAGAGAGGCGATTACTGTCCTCTCTCTCTTTCTGGTCGGCTATTTTCGAAAAGCACGACCCGGGTGAAAATGCCGAAATTCGGAGCTCCGACGGCGGCACGTCCGCGCTACGAGCAGTGATTACGCGCCGATGGGGATCATTGAAGCGCGTCCGCAGATTGAATTATAATCGATCGTTCCGCATCTAGAGAGCGAGAGAGAGGGGGAGACAGACGCGGCGATAAATCGGCAACTTTGCGTTTTGTTGCGCTGCGAATTGGCTCGCGGGAGGGGTGCTACGGGGGGGTGGTAGAGAGTTATCCGTAGCGTGGAATCGTGATCGATGATCCGAGCGATCGATCGATCACCTTCGACCCCTCGTCTCTTTTCGACGCGTCCCTTCGCTGCGATATCACGCGGGATAAAATCCAAAATATGGTTATTCGGGCGTTCGCGCTCCCTTAAGGGGTTACACCACTTTGACCCACCCAAAAATTACGGTTTTTCAAGAATTTTTTTTTAAGAATTAAAACGTTTTCATCCAAATTAAAGTACAGTAAGGTATTATACTACTATTAAACAAATAAATGCTTTTTTGTATTTTTTTTTTATTTACAAAAATGGCGGCTTGAAAGGCAATTTACCGGAGCGCTGCGAAAATCGATGATCGTGCGGTGGGCACGATAACTCGGTCCAGGTTTAAGTTAGAACAATAAACGAAAAAGAATTAGTTTCTGTAGCCCAAAAGCTAACGAAATACGTAGCCGATTTAAAAAATATGCATTTTTCACAAAATGGCATCGATTTGAAAGGAAAGATACGTATTTTGCCCTAAATTTCGTTAATTAATGTTGCATAAAAAATGCGAATATCAATACATTGAAAAAACCATACGTATTTCGCTAGATAAACATATCACGAATAAAATAAAAAAAGAATCAAGACGATTGATTGAAAATTGACGGAGCTAGAGTGGCCACCGATTTTTAAAATGCAGT